ACTGCATTTGTATCCTTATTCCCTACGTCTGTGAGACTTATTTCGCAACCCTGAGAGTCGGTAACACAGCTACGGGAACAATTGTGATAACACCTCTCCATGACCTGGTAACACCTCTCCATGACCTGGTAACACCTCTCCATGACCTGGTAACACCTCTGAATGACCTGGTAACACCTCTCCATGACCTGGTAACACCTTCATGACCTGGTAACACCTCTCCATGACCTGGTAATAGATACCGACAAATTGGTTTAGAAAGTCACGTGAACAAACACTAGGACATATTAGAAAAAGTTCTGGTTCTGGGATCTTGATCACTTCTAACATACAGAGGTTAAAATGACAGTGTATATAGGCGGAGAGTGAGGTGTGAGTGACATGACCTGAAGAATGTCATGTTGGGATGAGGACGGGTAGACGATGTGATCATGTGACCCTTTCTTAATAACACAGGAGTCACATGATCACATTTCCTACCTGTCCTCATCCCAATATGGCTTAATTCACCAGCTTAGTAAACTGTTAGGTAAGAAACTGACTCACTTCTCACATTACTGAAGCTTTATGAGTGTTTTGACATGTTTACTGAACAAATGTTAGTAATGTTTTGCTTTCCCTAAACAAAGGTTAATATCTTGTTCACATATAAATACAAATGTATAATTTTCCAGACATTCCAGGTTGGCATCCATACATTGGTACTTGACACTGGAAAGTGTATTGCCAATCACTCACGTTAGGCAGTTTGAGAAATGTTGACTGAGTAGCATGCAGTTTATGTGTGTACATTTACTAACATGTAATGATGGGATGACTGTAATTGTCATATTGAAAAAAAAAATGGTAGAAAATGACAGAGTGGCCGAAAAAATACATTAACTATCACTCATTCAGTAGCTGTCTTGGCAGGCATGTGCTGATATTAACAGCGGGAATTACCTTTTGGACCGTAACATTCCTCAGTCCTCCTTCAGAGTGCAGGCACTGTACTTCCCACCTCCAGGACTGTAACATTCCTCAGTCCTCCTTCAGAGTGCAGGCACTGTACTTCCCACCTCCAGGACTGTAACATTCCTCAGTCCTCCTTCAGAGTGCAGGCACTGTACTTCCCACCTCCAGGACTGTAACATTCCTCAGTCCTCCTTCAGAGTGCAGGCACTGTACTTCCCACCTCCAGGACTGTAACATCCTCAGTCATCCTTCAGAGTGCAGGCACTGTACTTCCCACCTCCAGGACTGTAACATTCCTCAGTCCTCCTTCAGAGTGCAGGCACTGTACTTCCACCTCCAGGACTGTAACATTCCTCAGTCCTCCTTCAGAGTGCAGGCACTGTACTTCCACCTCCAGGACTGTAACATTCCTCAGTCCTCCTTCAGAGTGCAGGCACTGTACTTCCCACCTCCAGGACTGTAACATTCCTCAGTCCTCCTTCAGAGTGCAGGCACTGTACTTCCCACCTCCAGGACTGTAACATTCCTCAGTCCTCCTTCAGAGTGCAGGCACTGTACTTCCCACCTCCAGGACTGTAACATTCCTCAGTCCTCCTTCAGAGTGCAGGCACTGTACTTCCCACCTCCAGGACTGTAACATTCCTCAGTCCTCCTTCAGAGTGCAGGCACTGTACTTCCCACCTCCAGGACTGTAACATCCCTCAGCCCTCCTTCAGAGTGCAGGCACTGTACTTCCCACCTCCAGGACTGTAACATCCCTCAGTCCTCCTTCAGAGTGCAGGCACTGTACTTCCCACTCCAGGACTGTAACATCCCTCAGTCCTCCTTCAGAGTGCAGGCACTGTACTTCCCACCTCCAGGACTGTAACATTCCTCAGTCCTCCTTCAGAGTGCAGGCACTGTACTTCCCACCTCCAGGACTGTAACATCCCTCAGCCCTCCTTCAGAGTGCAAGCACTGTACTTCCCACCTCCAGGACTGTAACATCCCTCAGTCCGCCTTCAGAGTGCAGGCACTGTACTTCCCACCTCCAGGACTGTAACATCCCCCAGTCCTCCTTCAGAGTGCAAGCACTGTACTTCCCACCTCCAGGACTGTAACATCCCTCAGTCCTCCTTCAGAGTGCAGGCACTGTACTTCCCACCTCCAGGACTGTAACATCCCCCAGTCCTCCTTCAGAGTGCAGGCACTGTATTTCCCCACCCCCAGGACTGTAACATTCCTCAGTCCTCCTTCAGAGTGCAGGCACTGTACTTCCCACCTCCAGGACTGTAACATCCCTCAGTCCTCCTTCAGAGTGCAGGCACTGTACTTCCACCTCCAGGACTGTAACATTCCTCAGTCCTCCTTCAGAGTGCAGGCACTTTACTTCCACCTCCAGGACTGTAACATTCCTCAGTCCTCCTTCAGAGTGCAGGCACTGTACTTCCACCTCCAGGACTGTAACATTCCTCAGTCCTCCTTCAGAGTGCAGGCACTGTACTTCCACCTCCAGGACTGTAACATTCCTCAGTCCTCCTTCAGAGTGCAGGCACTGTACTTCCACCTCCAGGACTGTAACATTCCTCAGTCCTCCTTCAGAGTGCAGGCACTGTACTTCCACCTCCAGGACTGTAACATTCCTCAGTCCTCCTTCAGAGTGCAGGCACTTTACTTCCACCTCCAGGACTGTAACATTCCTCAGTCCTCCTTCAGAGTGCAGGCACTTTACTTCCCACCTCCAGGACTGTAACATTCCTCAGTCATCCTTCAGAGTGCAGGCACTGTACTTCCCACCTCCAGGACTGTAACATTCCTCAGTCCTCCTTCAGAGTGCAGGCACTGTACTTCCACCTCCAGGACTGTAACATTCCTCAGTCCTCCTTCAGAGTGCAGGCACTGTACTTCCCACCTCCAGGACTGTAACATCCCTCAGTCCTCCTTCAGAGTGCAGGCACTGTACTTCCCACCTCCAGGACTGTAACATCCCTCAGTCCTCCTTCAGAGTGCAGGCACTGTACTTCCCACCTCCAGGACTGTAACATTCCTCAGTCCTCCTTCAGAGTGCAGGCACTTTACTTCCCACCTCCAGGACTGTAACATTCCTCAGTCCTCCTTCAGAGTGCAGGCACTGTACTTCCCACCTCCAGGACTGTAACATTCCTCAGTCCTCCTTCAGAGTGCAGGCACTGTACTTCCCACCTCCAGGACTGTAACATCCCTCAGTCCTCCTTCAGAGAGCAGGCACTGTACTTCCCACCTCCAGGACTGTAACATTCCTCAGTCCTCCTTCAGAGAGCAGGCACTGTACTTCCCACCTCCAGGACTGTAACATCCCTCAGCCCTCCTTCAGAGTGCAGGCACTGTACTTCCCACCTCCAGGACTGTAACATCCCTCAGTCCTCCTTCAGAGTGCAGGCACTGTACTTCCCACCTCCAGGACTGTAACATCCCTCAGCCCTCCTTCAGAGTGCAGGCACTGTACTTCCCACCTCCAGGACTGTAACATCCCCCAGTCCTCCTTCAGAGTGCAGGCACTGTACTTCCCACCTCCAGGACTGTAACATTCCTCAGTCCTCCTTCAGAGAGCAGGCACTGTACTTCCCACCTCCAGGACTGTAACATCCCTCAGCCTCCTTCAGAGTGCAGGCACTGTACTTCCCACCTCCAGGACTGTAACATCCTCAGTCCTCCTTCAGAGTGCAGGCACTGTACTTCCCACCTCCAGGACTGTAACATCCCTCAGCCCTCCTTCAGAGTGCAGGCACTGTACTTCCCACCTCAGGACTGTAACATCCCCCAGTCCTCTTCAGAGTGCAGGCACTGTACTTCCCACCTCCAGGACTGTAACATCCCCCAGTCCTCCTTCAGAGTGCAGGCACTGTACTTCCCACCTCCAGGACTGTAACATTCCTCAGTCCTCCTTCAGAGAGCAGGCACTGTACTTCCCACCTCCAGGACTGTAACATCCCTCAGCCCTCCTTCAGAGTGCAGGCACTGTACTTCCCACCTCCAGGACTGTAACATCCCTCAGTCCTCCTTCAGAGTGCAGGCACTGTACTTCCCACCTCCAGGACTGTAACATCCCTCAGCCCTCCTTCAGAGTGCAGGCACTGTACTTCCCACCTCCAGGACTGTAACATCCCCCAGTCCTCCTTCAGAGTGCAGGCACTGTACTTCCCACCTACAAGACAAGAGTCCGGGTAACTCCTGATCAAGTAGTGAACACCGGGAATATCGTTACTGTAGCTACAAACACTGCTAACGGAACACCTGGAACATTGTTACTGTAGATACAAGCACTGGTAACTGAACACCAGGAACACTGTTACTGTAGCTACAAACACTGCTAACGGAACACCTGGAACATTGTTACTGTAGCTACAAGCACTGGTAACTGAACACCAGGAACACTGTTACTGTAGCTACAAACACTGCTAACGGAACACCTGGAACATTGTTACTGTAGCTACAAGCACTGGTAACTGAACACCAGGAACACTGTTACTGTAGCTACAAACACTGATAACGGAACACCTGGAACATTGTTGCTGTAGATACAAGCACTGGTAACTGAACACCAGGAACACTGTTACTGTAGCTACAAACACTGATAACGGAACACCTGAAACACTGTTACTGTAGCTACAAGCACTGGTAACTGAACACCAGGAACACTGTTACTGTAGCTACAAACACTGATAACGGAACACCTGGAACATTGTTACTGTAGATACAAGCACTGGTAACTGAACACCAGGAACACTGTTACTGTAGCTACAAACACTGATAACGGAACACCTGGAACATTGTTACTGTAGCTACAAGCACTGGTAACTGAACACCAGGAACACTGTTACTGTAGCTACAAATGGGATTATCAAAAACGTAATTAAAACACCGTAGCTGAGATGTAACTCTTATTTCATATACACTGAGAGGTTTGTATCAGTGTAGTATATACACCGAAACTTTAATCCCTATTTTAGAGTATCAAAATATTCTTGACTATTGGTGACAGGTGACATAATATGTAGTCGATAGACTTCAAACCCAGTTAACCGTACCTGTTGAAGGGGTGTAGTGGTTAAGCAACACCCAGTGTATATGTGTTGATGGAGTGTAGGTGAGGTACACAGCGCGAGGTTCACTACTCAAGACACCGTCCAAGTCACCAGGAACACCAGTACACTCACACTGGTAGTCACCGTCACCCTCACTAAGTCTTCACTAGACTGACAGTGAAAGAGAGAGTTCACTGCAGCATGTGATGGAGGAGGTGCAGTCTCCGTCAGGGGGGCAGGGAGGGGGTGGTGGGTCGTCAGGAGAGGGAGGGGGTGGAGGGTCGTCAGGAGACAGAGAGGGGATGGAGGGTCGTCAGGAGACAGAGAGGGGATGGACGGTCGTCAGGAGACAGAGAGGGGATGGAGGGTCGTCAGGAGACAGAGAGGGGATGGAGGGTCGTCAGGAGACAGAGAAGGGATGGAGGGTCGTCAGGAGACAGAGAGGGGATGGAGGGTCGTCAGGAGACAGAGAGGGGATGGAGGGTCGTCAGGAGACAGAGAAGGGACGGAGGGTCGTCAGGAGACAGAGAAGGGACGGAGGGTCGTCAGGAGACAGAGAGGGGACGGAGGGTCGTCAGGAGACAGAGAGGGGACGGAGGGTCGTCAGGAGACAGAGAGGGGATGGAGGGTCCGTCAGGAGACAGAGAGGGATGGAGGGTCGTCAGGAGACAGAGAGGGGATGGAGGGTCGTCAGGAGACAGAGAGGGGATGGAGGGTCGTCAGGAGACAGACAGGGGATGGAGGGTCGTCAGGAGACAGAGAGGGGATGGAGGGTCGTCAGGAGACAGAGAGGGGATGGAGGGTCGTCAGGAGACAGAGAGGGATGGAGGGTCGTCAGGAGACAGAGAGGGAATGGAGGGTCGTCAGGAGACAGAGAGGGGATGGAGGGTCGTCAGGAGCAGAGAGGGGATGGAGGGTCGTCAGGAGACAGAGAGGGGATGGAGGTGTCAGGAGACAGAGAGGGGATGGAGGGTCGTCAGGAGACAGAGAGGGAATGGAGGGTCGTCAGAGACAGAGAGGGAATGGAGGGTCGTCAGGAGACAGAGAGGGGATGGAGGGTCGTCAGGAGACAGAGAGGGGATGGAGGGTCGTCAGGAGACAGAGAGGGGATGGAGGGTCGTCAGGAGACAGAGATGGGATGTGAGGGTCGTCAGGAGACAGAGAAGGGATGAGGTCGTCAGGAGACAGAGAAGGGACGGAGGGTCGTCAGGAGACAGAGAGGGGATGGAGGGTCGTCAGGAGACAGGGAATGGAGGGTCGTCAGGAGACAGAGAGGGGATGGAGGGTCGTCTGGAGACAGAGAGGGGATGGAGGGTCGTCAGGAGACAGAGAGGGGATGGAGGGTCGTCAGAGACAGGGAGGGGACGGAGGGTCGTCAGGAGACAGAGAGGGGATGGAGGGTCGCCAGGAGACAGAGGGGGGATGGAGGGTCGTCTGGAGACAGAGGGGGGATGGAGGGTCTTTCAGGAGACAGAGGGGGGACGGAGGGTCGTCAGGAGACAGAGGGGGGATGGAGGGTCCGTCAGGAGACAGAGGGGGGATGGAGGGTCGTCAGGAGACGGGGGATGGAGGGTCGTCAGGAGACAGAGGGGGATGGAGGGTCGTCAGGAGAGAGAGGGGGGATGGAGGGTCGTCAGGAGACAGAGGGGGACGGAGGTCGTCAGGAGACAGAGTGGGGATGGAGGGTTGTCAGGAGACAGAGGGGAACGGAGGTCGTCAGGAGACAGAGGGGGGATGGAGGGTCGTCAGGAGACAGAGGGGGGATGGAGGGTCGTCAGGAGACAGAGGGGGGACGGAGGGTTCGTCAGGAGACAGAGGGGGGACGGAGGGTCGTCAGGAGACAGAGGGGGGAAGGAGGGTCGTCAGGAGACAGAGAGGGGATGGAGGGTCGTCAGGAGACAGAGAGGGGATGGAGGGTCGTCAGGAGACAGAGGGGGGACGGAGGGTCGTCAGGACAGAGGGGGGAAGGAGGGTCGTCAGGAGACAGAGAGGGATGGAGGGTCGTCAGGAGACAGAGAGGGGACGGAGGGTCGTCAGGAGACAGAGAGGGGATGGAGGGTCGTCAGGAGACAGAGGGGGGACGGAGGGTCGTCAGGAGACAGAGGGGGATGGAGGGTCGTCAGGAGACAGAGGGGGGATGGAGGGTCGTCAGGAGACAGAGGGGGGACGGAGGGTCGTCAGGAGACAGAGGGGGGATGGAGGGTCGTCAGGAGACAGAGGGGGGGACGGAGGGTCGTCAGGAGACAGAGGGGGGGATGGAGGGTCGTCAGGAGACAGAGGGGGGACGGAGGGTGGTCAGGAGACAGAGGGGGGACGGAGGGTCGTCAGGAGACAGAGGGGGGACGGAGGGTCGTCAGGAGACAGAGGGGGGACGGAGGGTCGTCAGGAGACAGGTGGAGAGTAAATAAGGAGAGAGTAAAGTGGGTCGGGTTTCTTTGTGAAGTAAGACGTCCATCTCAGCTGCTGTTCCAGTACACTTACTCAGTTACCACTTGTCAGTAGACACTTAGCCTACTTTGTGTGTGTGTGTGTGTGTGTGTGTGTGTGTGTGTGTGTGTGTGTGTGTGTGTGTGTGTGGGGTGTGTGTGTGTGTGTGTACAACACTAGTAGTGTTGTACAGTAGTGTTGTGATCTTAACGTCTCTTCTTCAACACTCTGGTCATCTTGTATCTTATAATTGAAAATAGTTGCGTCAAAACTTACTAAATCCTCTTCTAACACATTCCACTGCCCCCCCCCCGCTCCTACCTCTCTCTCTTTTCCTCCCCCTTCTCTCTCTCTTCTCTCCCCTCATTACACATTCCTCTTATAATTGTTCGTATTTTCCTCCTACTAACTATAATAATTGACCTTTAATTCCCCCTATAATTTGCAGTTCCTAATTAGTCTTTGATGGGGAACTCCGGTAAAACATTTCTACAACCAATCATATCTTCCCTGAACAATTTTACATAATTCTTTCATAATAACAAATTTGATATGCACAGTGTACACATGAACAACCAGATTGTTCACCATACTTGTTTATTGACTTATTTTTAATGATTTTACAACAACATTTGTTCGGGGAAACTGTCCTGTAGTTTGAAGGGTGAAAATTAGACATGTGCAACATCTGGGTGTCTTTATTGTAGACGTTTCGCCAGCCAGTGGATTTATCAATATAAATTCAAAGACATAGATGGAAGATGAGGTAATGAGTCGGTGAAGAACATCGTGGTCGGTGAAGAACATCGTAGTCGGTGAAGAACATCGTAGTCGGTGAAGAACATCGTAGTCGGTGAAGAACATCGTAGTCGGTGAAGAACATCGTGGTCGGTGAAGAACATCGTGGTCGGTGAAGAACATCGTGGTCGGTGAAGAACATCGTAGTCGGTGAAGAACATCGTGGTCGGTGAAGAACATCGAGTCGGTGAAGAACATCGTAGTCAGTGAAGAACCTGTAGTCGGTGAAGAAATCGTAGTCGGTGAAGAACATCGTGGTCGGTGAAGAAACATCGTAGTCGGTGAAGAACATCGTGTCGGGTGTAAAGAACATCGTAGTCGGTGAAGAACATCGTGGTCGGTGAAGAACATCGTAGTCGGTGAAGAACATCGTGGTCGGTGAAGAACATCGTAGTCGGTGAAGAACATCGTAGTCGGTGAAGAACATCGTAGTCAGTGAAGAACATCGTAGTCAGTGAAGAACATCGTAGTCGGTGAAGAACATCGTAGTCGGTGAAGAACATCGTAGTCGGTGAAGAACATCGTAGTCAGTGAAGAACATCGTAGTCGGTGAAGAACATCGTAGTCGGTGAAGAACATCGTAGTCAGTGAAGAACATCGTAGTCGGTGAAGAACATCGTAGTCGTGAAGAACATCGTAGTCGGTGAAGAACATCGTAGTCGGTGAAGAACATCGTAGTCAGTGAAGAACATCGTAGTCGGTGAAGAACATCGTAGTCAGTGAAGAACATCGTAGTCGGTGAAGAACATCGTAGTCAGTGAAGAACATCGTAGTCAGTGAAGAACATCGTAGTCGGTGAAGAACATCGTAGTCGGTGAAGAACATCGTAGTCGGTGAAGAACATCGTAGTCGGTGAAGAACATCGTAGTCAGTGAAGAACATCGTAGTCGGTGAAGAACATCGTAGTCAGTGAAGAACATCGTAGTCGGTGAAGAACATCGTAGTCGGTGAAGAACATCGTAGTCGGTGAAGAACATCGTAGTCGGTGAAGAACATCGTAGTCAGTGAAGAACATCGTAGTCGGTGAAGAACATCGTAGTCAGTGAAGAACATCGTAGTCGGTGAAGAACATCGTAGTCGGTGAAGAACATCGTAGTCAGTGAAAATCGTGTGAAGCATCGTAGTCGGTGAAGAACATCGTAGTCGGTGAAGAACATCGTAGTCGTGAAGAACATCGTAGTCGGTGAAGAACATATCGTATTAGTCGGTGAAGAACATCGTAGTCGGTGAAGAACATCGTAGTCAGTGAAGAACATCGTAGTCGGTGAAGAACATCGTAGTCGGTGAAGAACATCGTGGTCAAGTCTGAAGACTGTTCAACACTGCTGCCACAATAATTACGATCTTCCATGTCGTTGCTAATTTATCTTTCTGTTGTGTTAAATCCTGAACACATTCAAAAGTGGATAACACAACTCATCTCCACATTTTTGTACAGTCGTTCCGGGTTACTACTACTACTACTACTACGTCTGGTCCTACCAGAGTACTGCGACAGTAGTACTTGCGTCTGTGTTGTGGTTGATAGGGGGTTGGTAGGGGGGATAGGAGTTGTGGTTGACACTTCCCCCTCCCCCCTGATAATGTTCATTCCTTTTGAGCATGGACGGGGGGGGGGGGAGGAGAGCTTTCTCTCTCTCTCCCTTTAAACGTTTCTCTCTCATACTTTCTCATTTAATATGTATGGTAATGAGGAGTGGGTCGGCAACTGTTAGATGAGAAATACCAGCGTTCATGTGTTGACAATACTGCCATGTAGGTCACTGCTACATATCTACAATACTGCCATGTAGGTCACTGCTACATATCTACAATACTGTCATGTAGGTCACTGCTACATATCTACAATACTGCCATGTAGGTCACTGCTACATATCTACAATACTGCCATGTAGGTCACTGCTACATATCTACAATACTGCCAT